TAAAGGTTTTTTTGTTTGTTTGTTTTGTTTTAACCTAGCCTCCTCTAAGGCTGACACATGTCTGCTGCCAGCCTTGGGGTGTGTTGTAAAAAGGTCCAGGAGTGTGTGAAAGAATCCAGGAGGGTAGGAGCTGATTTACATGGCAAACATCAACTTTCATCTGTAATTGCACACTTAGATGTCTGTACCTAGTGCACAGATGTTTTCTACTGTGTAGGTAAATTTAGTGGACGGGAACATTTAAGATAACACATTAAAACCTATGTTTCACGTGGACAAATTTAAAGGATTTTTTTTTTTTGTAGAATTTGCAGCTACTGTTAGAGCTTAGCTGTTAGCTGAGAAGGAGCCTGTGGTCACAGTTAAAATGGAGAGAAAGAGTAGGCCCCCCCCACAGACACACATTAAGGTTTCTTTTGGAAACAGGACTTCCTGCAGTCTGTGGGTACCCACATTCAGACTAAGTACTGCACACTGCAGAGGGGGCTGGAGGAGAATAGCATCCTTGTGAGTTAATCAGAACTCCTGAGGAGGCCCTTGAAGTCCAAATTAAGTCTAAAGAATAGGTTTTCTTTGATTAGGACTTAACAGCTGTCAGAAAAACAAGGGCAGGCGGCGGGGAGCGCAGGTGCCTGTTGTGGACCGTTAGGTAGGGATTGACTTGAACTGTGAGTTCCCAAGGCAAGCATTTTTCCTGTAGGAAGTCAAAGATGACCTATTGTGGCTTTCCACCTGGCTTTAATGAGGTGGAGGCTCAATCCTCACAAGGGCCCAACATTGTCAGAGCTGTGAGGTTTTCCCCTTAGAATGCCCATGTGATAGAGACACTCCTCCATTTGGGTAGTGTATGGTGGACTCTTGGGGCAGTCACTCCTCTGTGATGATGGAGGTGCCTCATAAGTTACCCTGCAGCAGCTTGAGTGAGGATTAGGAAGGAGTCCAGGACGGACAGCAGTGACCCCAAAGGGAGCCATTTGCTTGGTTTTCATGAGATAAAGTGGAGACACCTGCCCTGAGATGCAGCAGTCATGCCTGCTGGGGGCTTGTTGAACACAGGAATACCTGCTGAAGAAGGAGCTTTAGGCTGGCTTCTGGTCCTGTGGTGGCTACTCTCCACTGCCATCCTGACGGGGTTTAGAATCACCATGGAAACCCACCTCCGAGTGGGTCTAGGAGTATGTTTTCAAAAGAGATTTTCACCAAACAGGGAAGACCCGTGCTGAATGTGAGTGGCACCATCTCATGGGCTGGGGCCCTGGGCTGAACAGAAAGAAGAAAATGGACTGAGTACTGGCATTCATCTCTGTCTGCTTCCTGGCAGTGAGAGCGTCTGTGACCCACTCCCTCACGCCCCTGTTGCCATGGCTTCCCCACCACGATGGACGGTGCTCTCAAGTAAAATAACTAAACGCTTCCTTCCTTAAGTGGCTTTGTCAGGTATTGGTCATAGTGATGGAAAAAACAATTAGTGCAGGTCTCATCGGGTTAAAAGTGTTATTGTCCCTCCTTTGTAAATGGGGAACCTGAGCCCAGTGCTGGTAGATTTTAAAATTAAAGTGCAACCCCAAGACATCCCAATATCCAAGTCTCTGTTCTTTTCCTCTTAACTGCGTGGCACACATTCCAGTAGGAAGAGAGCTGGAGCGTGAAACATGAGCGGGTGTTGAGATCGCCATGCAGAGCCCCGTCATCAGTGGGCACCGTTGTCTCTTGAGTCTGCTGGCTGTTGTGGCATCTCCTGGTACCCTGTGTTAACCTTTAGGGGGGTAGAAGGAGCCGCACAAGTGAGGCTAGGTCCCTTCTTCTTTGCCTCTACCTGCTCCAGAACCCTCTGCCCTATGTAGCTTTGTTACAGACACATCATTCAATTTGGGAGAAGCAGGTCTGAGCCTTTGGGCTGTTCCAGGATCATAGGATAAAATCAGGGTGCCCTCTACACACCTACCCATGCACACTCTCTCACACAGCCATATATACCCTCAGTAATTCCTGTCATTAACACTTTTCATCTGTCAGAGGGGACATCGCAGTTTCTGTAGAATTATACCTTCTCAGTTAGGAGACATACCCCATCAACCTTAAATTCCTTCCGTCGGCTTGAGAGTCCCTGTCATCCTTGGGCCTAGAATGCTGGCCTGATCCCAGGCAGGGGTTGTTTGGTGGGCAGAGCTATCTCAGTGGGAAACTCTACTCTTTAAACTCCCTGGCTTACCTGGACCCCATCCAGGACATCTCAAGGTGCACAGATGGAGCTATCCCAGTGCCTCCTCCCCTTCACTAGGGCAACACCTGAAAGAGGCAGGGACCGTGTAGGTCTCATCTGTCCTTGTATCCCAGTGGCTCAGAAGCACACTCGAGTGCACAGTCAGGGCGAGCATTCAGAGTGAACTCTGCCTCGATACGTCAGACAAGCTACTAAACCAGCTAAGGGGATGTGCATTCTCCCCTCCTGACTGGCAAAGCAGAGCTCTCCAGGATTGCATGAGATGAGTGATGATATGTTGGCTCTCGGCATGCAATTGGCAGTCATTGTGATTAATGAAAAGTTTGAGGGATGGAAAGCCCCTGTACTTCCACCTCAGCCACAGCCCAGGCAGGTGATTACCTGGGTTAATTCATAGTTGGTGACTCCACCCACCCTCACCAGGTTCACTCTCCCCTCCACCTTTTGGTAGCCCCTCACCCCAAGTCCCCTGGCAGCTCCTTGGCTTCCAGTAGTATCACTGATCAACAGGCCATGCCAACATCAGAGATGGCTGACAATGCTGACATCTTGGAGGCCTCTGGATGGGGGAAGGTGTGTCACAACCATTCACCTCTTCGACTGCGTCATCTGTGACTTTGACTGTGAACACAGAGAGTGATAGCAAGGAGTAGGAGTGGTGGTCCACGATGTGAGCGCACGCTGTTTCTACCTCACCCTCACTCTCTGTATAATGAGAGCAGGAGCACGATGTCCCATCAGTCGGATTTTGATAGAACTGATGTTCACATCAGATGTTTCCACGAAGCCAAACTGCATGAAGATTGAGAAGCTAAGTTTTAAAAAAGGTTTTTGTTTTTTGTCTTCAGCCTTTAAGAAATCAGCCAGAGAACTAGAATGACAAAATTAACTAAGAGCACATACTGCTCTTGCCAAAGACTCAAGTTCTGTTCCCAGCACCCACAGCAGATGGCTCACACCACCTGTAACTCCACTCCAGAGGATCCAACACTCTCTTCTGGCTTCTATGGGCACCTGAACAATCTCAGTCTCTCTCTCTCTCTCTCTCTCTCTCTCTCTCTCTCTCTCTCTCTCTCTCTCTCTCTCTCCCTCCCTCCCTCCCTCCCTCCCTCCCTCCCTCTCCCTACTTCCCTCTCTCTCCCTCTCCCTCTCCCTGCTTCCCTCTCTCTCCCCCCTTCTCCCCTCCCTCCCTCCCTCTCTCTCTCTCTCCCTCCCTCCCTCCCTCTCTCTCTCTCCCCCTCCTCCTCTCCCTACCTCTCTCTCCCCCCACTTCTCCCCTCCCTCCCTCTCTCTCCCTCCCTCCTTCCCTCTCTCCTCTCTCTTTCTCTGTCTCTTTCACACACACACAATTTTAAAAATGATAAGTGTGGGCACATGCCTTTAACTTCAGCAACCAGGAGTATAGTGGCTAGCTTTATGTAAACTTACACAGACTAGAGTCATTTTGGAAGAGGGAACCTCAGTTGAGAAAAACGCCTGCCAGACTGGCCTGTGGGCAAGCTTGTGGGCATTTTCTTGTTTGATGATTGGTGTGGGAGGGTTCAACTCAGTTGTGGTATGTGCCCTCCCTGGGCTGGTGGCCCTGGGTTCTATAAAGAAAGCAAGCTGAGCAAGCCAGTAAGCAGCACCCCTCCATGGTCTCTGCATCAGGTTCCTGCCCTGTTTGAGTTTCTGTCCTGACTTCCCTCGGTGATGGATTGTTTTGGAGAACCATAAACTGAAATCAACCCTTTCTTCTGCTTTTGGTCATGGTGTTTTATCCCAGCAATAGAAACTCTAACTAAGAGAGGGAGGAAGAGGTAGGCAGATCTCCAAGCTCCAGCCCAGCTAATGCCACATAGTGAGAGCCTGTCTCAGGTAATGGTGGTGATGATGATGATGATGATGATGATGATGATAAAAAAATGCTAAAAGAAACCAGTCTGGAGGGAGGACAAGCACTCTAACATTTATATTAAACATCAGTGTCAACTCCAGCACAGAATAGTGTGTATGTTTCTTTCCTTCTGTTAAATATGTTCATTCTGTTCCTCCCATCATTTCACCCTATGTAAGAGCCAAACTATGAATTGGTTAATCAAACATTTGAACCTCTCTTTTTCAGTATGAAGATTCATAGTCACTCCCAGGAAATGATAGCTTTCCGGATAGAGTGGGCTGTACACAGCGGGAGAGCTTGCTGTCCTGGGTTGGGTATGGGAGGCAGAGATACAAGTAGTGCCGATTTCTGTGGTAGGGTTATGGATGAGTAAATCAGATACTTTTATTTGGGAAGAAGGTAAACCCGTTTGGATGAAATGGTAATGGTAACTGGGATGATTTAACCTGGAAATGATCTAGTGAGGGAGCATGGATGTAGGGTGCAATGAAGGAGGATAATTTTATGTGGAGTTCACTGTACTTCTGTATTTGCTCAGAATTTTCCCCAAGTTCCAAACCAGAAGACTCAGTGTAAATAATAATAAAATATTGTCTAGCCATTCAGATAATACTTAGGAAGAATTTTAATCAACTGGTATGCTACAAAAATCAGAAGTCAAGTTTCTTAATGCGTGTGCATGGATAACAAATATCTGTGTAAAGGTGTGTTAGAAAGAGACTGAAACATTCATTATGATTATACTTGGTTGTTGGATCATGGGTGATTTTTTTATTCTTCACATTTTTCAAACTTGCTAAAGGAAAAACAAACAGCAATTTCTTACAATTTGAGGGGAACTTTGAAAGTCTCTGACCTGCCATTGTGTTACGTTTTCTGTGAAACTGCTGACATCAGTAATTAGAAAGACGCTTCTGTGGTTGCTACCCACGTGGCTGTGGACATGGCCTGCACTGTCCTCCTCTCTGCCCTCGTCTCTGGCTTTTCAGCGTTATATGCAGGTGAGGTGACAGAAGCAGTCCCACCACCACGGCACTCACTGGTCACTCTGCTCAGCATGTTCCTCTAACAGGGACTTTCTGTCTGGTTTTAGTGAGCTGGACATGATTTCCACAAGGGTGATGGACATCAAGCTTCGGGAAGCTGCTGAAGGCCTCGGGGAGGACGGCACAGGTAAGGTCTGGGAAGAGGCTGTTGGTTTGGTTGGAGCTGGGCTTTGTGGCTTCCTGTGTGGAGACGTATGTTCAGTCCCCGCGGTGTGCTCAGACATCCCCAGCCTCGCACTCACTCCTTCACCATTTAACGCCATTTAGCAGCTTTGATCTTTGCTGCTCTGCCCAAGAGTTGGGCCTTTGAATGTCCTTTTCCTTTTCCTAGAGGTAAACATGGCCCTGTATTTGACTTGAAAGCAAAGGAGCAGGGGCTAACCCAGGAGCACCTGCACTTTGATGTCATGAGTTCAAGGCTAGGCAGAGTTACGTGTAGAGGCCAAGGCTAAATGGATTCATTTATCATCCAACACTTTCCAAAGGTAAGCATAGGAGGTTTTGTAAAGCACAGGATGAGCTGATCCTCCAGAGGAAATAATTACATCTAAAGAGCCTTTGACCCTTCTCTTACGACTCTAACAAGGCCTTTATCTTAGCTTCTGCTGAGCCAACTTCCAGGCCTGTGAGTCATCACTTCGGAACACATTCCGATCTAGTCATGGGATTGCTATTTATGTCTTGATACAGTTGTGAAATCAATATTAAAAGACACTGATCTCCCTTGGTGCACATTCTCCTGGATTTTCAGCCATTTTACTCACCTCATATTGTTAGCAAAGGTCTCCAACCTCTCTTGTTTAAAATTCAAAATCCCAGGAGTCAAGAAAAATAACTTCCAGTAACATTAAACCCGACGGCCGGCTGCTGCCTTTAGACACTCATCCCAGTGAACACTCTATTTCCTATGTGAAGAAGGATTGCTCAGTTTATATTAGGACCACTTTTCTGCTCATATTTCAGTAGGTACCAAGTAAGTCCAAATATGAGGTGAGGGTACTGCAAGATTAACCCTCAGTGGGGAAAATGGTCGTTCAAACTGTATTATATCATGGAACTGAATTATTGCTTTTTAAAATAAGAAAATATTATAGTAAGTATTTCATTTCCCCCCAAAGAGCTTCAGTAGATGCCAGTGTGGTCTACATAGGTCACCATAAGGAATCAATCTTAGAAAATGAGAGAATCTAGATACTCTATTTTTGTTTCAAATAATAGTGGACTTACTGTAATCAGAGCAACTTTTCCATCTTCAGTTTTGAAAATTCTAGATGAGAACATGAGTGGGAAGGAAAATGGTAACTCAGAAAGATGGGTGAGCACATTTTCCTTTAGTCTTTTACTCTGAAATTTTGAATCTCATTTTCTTGTGGGGTAAGATGTGAGGGGTGGGTAGAAGGCGAGATACAGGATCTGAGGAGACCGTCTAATAGAAGGCCTTCGCTTTGGTGAGCTGCAAAGGTAGAGTGGGTGTGAACCACAGATAAGTCAGCCCTCTGGTAAATTTGTAGCTTCCGTTGGATGACCCAGAGAACCTCGACCCTTGAACTTGGGTCAGCGGTACTTCTAGATCAGACAGGATGACCCAGGTACTGTGCAGAAGCAAACTGTTTTCTCAAAAGACTGCCCAACTGTCCTGCTTAGAGTAGGGCACTTGGGAGGTAAAAACTGGAACTTGAGGCGTGGAAGGTCATCCTCAGCTACATAGGAAGTTCAGGGCCAGCGTGGGATGCAGTAAGACCCTGTCCAAACAAACAAGCAAACAACAAACCAGGGAAGAGCTGGCTCAGCAGTTAGAACACTTGCTCTTGCAGAGGACCTGAGTTCAATCCCCAGCAGCCACATAGTGACTCAACCATCTGTAACTCCAGTTCTAGGAGATCTGATGCCTGCACATGGTATACTTACACACATGCAGGCAAAACATTCATAAAATAAGATAAAATAAAATTAATAACAGAGGAAAGAGAAGGGAGAGCAGGAAGGAAACGGAGAGAGAAAGGAAGCAAAAAGCATCATCGATCTGCGCCTCACTGATGATCCGAAACAGCTCAAAGTGTGCTACAGACATGCATTTAGACCCTAATCCTTCATAAGGAGGCTAAGAGAAAACATTTCTTACCCACAGTTAGACCAGAGTTCTTAGATTCAACACCTTAATTTGTAAAAGAAAAATTTATGAATGGAACCTCATCAAAATTTAAAACTTTTTCTCTGCAAAAACACTATTAAGAAAACAAAAATATAAGTCACACACCCTATATATAACACACACCCCTACACAGAAGTATTAACCAAAAGGCAGTGAAAACTTAAGGTTCACACAGGAACTGAAAGTGACTTTATTCGTGATTGCCAAAAGTCATGTGCCCAGTCAACCAATCAGTTTATCTATATAATGGAATACTACTGGGCAATAAAAAGGACAAACTACTGATATATAATAACAATGTAAATGAGTTTTTAAGGGAAAGACTGTATACTGAGACCCAATCTACACACTGTGACTTGACCTGAAACTCTAAATAAGAGCAGAGTGAACGGCTGCATGTCAAGGGTGGGAAGCATGAGGAGATGGTACAGACTGATGTTCTGCATCTGGATTGAGGAAGTAATTGTGCTGCTCTACAGATGCAAGAGTGATTTTTTTTTTACCATAATTTAAAATAATTTAAACGATACTGCAGTTTTTAAAAACAAGTGGATTTTTAAAAGTGAATATAATTAGTAAAACTTCAGTGTTCAGATCAAGAGCAGTTTACACCAGGTTAAGATCACAGGGAATCGTATCAAATGCAGAGTGGAATGATGAAAAGATGGGAAACGGCAAAGAAGACAAAGGCAGAGCTAAGCAATAACCTACAGCATGCAGTCACACAAGCTCAGAGAGGAGAGGATGCCCAAGAAGTTTCTAGGATTGTTTTTTTAAAAAACTAGCCTGGTCCACAGATTTAAGATGCCCAGTGAGGGCCTGGAGAGATGGTTTAGCCGTGAAGAGCATTTGCTGCTCTTGCCGAGGACCCAGTTCAGTTCCCAACAAGGCCACCTGAAACTCCAGCTTCAGGCCATCTGGCACCCTCTCCTGGCCGCTGAAGGCACTGCGTTTGTACAAACGCATACACCTAAATAAAAATAAATTAATCAAATAAATAAAAGAAACCCAGTGTCTGTCTCCTAGGAGGGATAATTAAAGGGCAGTAAAAATACGAAGGGGGAAGATGTAGAAAGCCAAAGCTCAAATTAGAAATCTTAAGTCCCGGGAAGTGGGGGGTTACCTTCACAGGAGGGAAAGGAAAAGTGATGGCTGATTTCTAACCATACAGGGGAGCCCGTGAAACTGTGACTCGTTAGAAAAAATAACTACCGACCTAGAAGGCCAAACCCGAGAAGGATGTACGTCAGAACCGAGGGGGAAACAGAGATGCTGTCAGAGACCTAAGATTGCCGCTGATAGACCCTTAAAAGTTGTGAAGTAGACATTGACAGCTAAAGAAAGATAAATAACCCCCCCCTGATATTGTTAGGATGAATTTATTTTAAAAATTAGTAGAGAGATGAAATATAAAAACAAAATGAAAATGGCAGTGTCCAAAGAGTCATCTTTAAAACAGAGAGGAAAATGCACTGCTCTCCGAGCATTATGGGAAGTGTATGGAAATGTCAATATGGTGAGCCGTAAGTAAGTCTCAACAGGTTGGGGGGGAACACAGTTCAGAGTGCATGATCTCACGACCGTGAAGTTAATAACAAAGAGAGAGGAGGTTGCCAAGTGCTTGGAAATGAAGACCTGCCTTTCTGCATAACTCGCAGATCTGAAAAGGTACGATCATGGAAATCAGAAAATACTTTAACCAAATAATGATGACAATGCAAACTTTTTTTTTTTTTTTTTTTTTTTTTTTTGGTTTTTCGAGACAGGGTTTCTCTGTGTAGCTTTGCGCCTTTCCTGGAACTCACTTGGTAGCCCAGGCTGGCCTCGAACTCACAGAGATCCGCCTGGCTCTGCCTCCCGAGTGCTGGGATTAAAGGCGTGTGCCACCACCGCCCGGCGACAATGCAAACTTTTATAATGCTTAGAACTTAGCAGATCTAGAGAGAACTAAAATGAAATGTATTTATTAGCAAAGCAGGGACGGTTTAAAAAATTGTAGGCTTTCATCAAAAGAACCTTTAAAAAATAAAATAGCAAGTCTGGGCCTGGGGGTGTTGCTCAGTGGTAGAGCTCTCACCCAGCATGTTGGAAAGACTTTTCACAAGTCATCAGTATAGTTGACCTAGGAAGAAAGAGGAGGTACAGATAATTAACCCTGGACATGAAAAAGGAGGCACTATTACAGATCCTGCCGCCGCCCAGCCTTTTTGCCAGTAAATTTGAAAATTTAAAACGTATAGAAATCCCTAGATATGAGAAGCAACAGAACAGACTGAAGAAGTAGGAAAGTGGATCAGTCCTGTAGCTGTTTGAGAAGTCGGGTCACTAATCTTAGGAGAGGAAGAAATAAAAACAAACGAGATGGCCGATGAACTCTTTAGGTCCTTGTGATTAAACTGATTTAGGTGTCTATATACATGCAGTGCCTGCAGAAGCCAGAAGAGGGCGCCAGGCCACCGGAAGCGGGAGCTACAGTTGTCATGAAAGGGCACAGCTGTTGCATTCTGCTCTTTGTAGCCATCTCCTACCTCCGCTGTTCATGTCCTAAGCACACCTGGGTGTCAAGACAAGGAGGCCGTTTATTTGTTCAGGTCTCCGGGGACACCTAATAGTTTGTTGACTATTGGAAGGCCAGGTGGTGTCCCTATCAAATGCAAAGACCTCCTGGGAGTCTTTCAACATAACCTCTGATGGAGAACCATCTGCATGCAAGATAAACATTTTGAGATGTAAAAGGAAGTTTCCACTGGAGATAAAAAACCTGCCATAGAACGCTGTCCCCCGAGGAGAGACGTTTGCTCCAGTCTTGCTGGCAGAATCTCAGGTGAAGGCGAGGTGAACTTCCAAGGGGGCTTTAACACAAAGACCATTAGGAACACCCTCCCTTATATTTCAAATTGATTCCATCTGTAAACTTATAAAGCAGTCTCAGACGGTTTCAGCAAACTTCTGCCGGGTCACACAGCATGCTTGTGCTCTCTGACTCTGTTTCCTCCTGCTGTCCCGTCTGACAAATACTCAGAAGGGAAGCAGTGAACGTGGCTGGGTTGCCCTGGTGACGTCATGGGCTCCTGGGTCTGATAGACCCCGTGGGAAAGAATGAAGTGACAGCCGAGGAGCTCGGCCTGGACACAACCTCTCCACTGTAGGGATAGCCACGGTTTGCTCATTTTTCTCACCCACCCCAACACGCAATTTTAAAAATAAAGTAAATCCTTAAAAAAATAACGTATATATTTTCTAAGAAAATAACTTAGGTTATCATACGCCTTTGCCTCATCTGGCACGTTATGTGTACGTTATGTATGAAATAGTATGCATATTCCAGAGACTTAAAGAACATGGTATCTGGTAAGAGGAAGGTCGCTTGGGTTTTGATTTATTGATCATGCTCCAGGGTTCTTGGTTCATATACTGATATCCTAAAGATGGAAAACAAGGGGGCTGGAGAGACTCAGAGCACTGGCCGCTCTTCCAGAGGACCCACATTCAAATCCCAGTGCCCCTATGGCTGCTCACAACCATGTGTAACTCCAGTCCTGGGGAATCTGATACCCTCATCACGTCTCTTTGGCTGGTGCAGGCATGTACGGCCAGACACACACCCAGGCAAAACATCTGTACACATACAATTTTAATGTTTTTTTTTTTTTGGTTTTTCGAGACAGGGTTTCTCTGTGTAGCTTTGCGCCTTTTCTGGGACTCACTTGGTAGCCCAGGCTGGCCTCGAACTCACAGAGATCCGCCTGGCTCTGCCTCCCGAGTGCTGGGATTAAAGGCGTGCGCCACCACCGCCGGGCTACAATTTTAATGTTTTAAAAGATAGAAACCAGCCGGGCGGTGGTGGCGCATGCCTTTAATCCCAGCACTCGGGAGGCAGAGGCAGGCGGATCTCTGTGAGTTCGAGGCCAGCCTGGTCTCCAAAGCGAGTTCCAGGAAAGGCGCAAAGCTACACAGAGAAACCCTGTCTCGAAAAACCAAAAAAAAAAAAGATAGAAACCAATATTTGTTTGGGAGGCGCAGACCTTAGGTCATGTGTTTCTCTCTGCGGTACGTTGAGTCCTTGATTTCTTGTTACCTGTGCCCATCACACGCCTGCACTCTGACACACATTCCTGCTAATCTTTTTTTTTTTTTCTTTTCATCTGTATAGGAAAGAAAAAATCCAAATTTAAAACGTTTAAGAAGTTGTTTGGGAAGAAGAAGAGAAAGGAATCGCCTTCATCCACGGGAAACAGCACCTGGAAGCAAAATCAGGCCAAGAGCGAGGTCATTCCCATCGAGTCGGGGCCGGTGGGCTATGACTCCGAAGATGAGCTGGAGTAAGTTGCTTTCACGTGCATCTGGCTTGTGAGCCTCAAGGAGGAGGGTACAGTGGGCACAGGAGATGTCCAGCACTCTTACTTCAGTGCCTTAATAACTGGTCAGGCTCCTGAGCCTCCTCCCATCCTGGGTGATCCCCTTAGGAGCGCTCCTCAGTATGTGGTGCATTTATTAACTTTTCGAGCACGGGGTGGAGGAAGGTGGGAGAAACCTGATTGTGTAGTTCTACCCGCTGGGTGCCATGAGTATTTAAAAGTTCACAGTAACTGGGGCTGGAGAGGTAGTTCAGTGGTTAAGAGCACGTGTTGCAGAGGACTGGGGTTTGGTTCTCAGCACCCACATTATGGCTCACAGCCATCCGTAACTCCAATTCTGAGGTACATGATGCCTCTAAGGGTGCTAGGCATGCACATGTGGTGCGTATGTGCAAATCACTCATATGTGTAAAATAAAATTTTAAAAATCTAAAAACCTGTAAGTTCACAGTGAGGCCTAGGGAGATGGTTCCATGTAGGCCTATAATTCCAGAGCTCCTATAGCCAGATGAGAGATAGAGACAGGGGACTCTCGAGAAACTCATGGGTGAGCTGGCCTAGGGGCAGTAGTGAACATCAACAGGCTGGAAGGCAGGGACTGCCACCTAAGGTTGCCTTGTGACATGCACCTGGACACTGGCATGTGTGCACCAACCTAACCGCCCCCCAACACACACACACAGATATGTTTGTTAAACGCACAGTAGCTGTATGAGACAATGCCATGAACCATCACAGAAATGAGCAAAATCAGCCATAAGCAATCTAGGCGCCTGCCCAGTATCACATGGCATAGAGGGCAGGATTGGGCTGCGGGGCCCTGGTTTAATGTAACCAAGAATGCTCAAGGACCTGGGACACAATACATCTCTCTGGACTTAAAGGCTGACTGATCGAATAAGGGCACATGCGCTAGACCAAGGCCAGCAGATGGAGAAGAAACGGTTTCTTGTTGTCTGGGCTTAATAAATGCAGACGCTCTGGGGATGGACACTCGGGTAGCTCTCGTGGGCAGAACTTTGATTTTCTAGCTTGTGCTTCATCACAGTGCAATTATGTTGCCTGCCCCCCCACCCCCCACCCCCCACCCCCACCCCCACCCCCGTTCCCCTACAGTCATATTCTGGACTGAGGAGGAGAGAAGGCAGCTTGTAACGTCTTTGAAACATTGACTCGCCTTTCAGGATAAAATGCCAGAAAGAATGGTAGTGCTCCAGAGACGGGGGCGGGGGCGGGGGGCGGGGCAGCCTGTTTCTCAAGGCGGAGAAATTGCACTGACCACTTGGTGGCACTAGATGACTGAAGATGGAAGATCAGAGTTTGCGTCCCCTCCCCCTCCTCCCAGAGCTAGCTAGAAGCAGAGTGGGCATGTGGGTACCTTGTAAGACTGTGCGCAATTGTGGGGGTGCGGGAGGGGCAGTCCTGGCTAGCCCCAGGAGAACTCTAAAGCCCACCCCCCACCTCCTGGTGTTCAGAAACAAACCTGGGAATGATCCACCCAGCCACAAACAGGAGCATGGCCAGAGGGCCAGGCTCTGGGGAAATGCTCCTTCTCGTAGGAACCCAGGGAAAGTGGGGACAGGAGGACCCTTGATATCTGCCTATGACCCGCACCTGGTGGGAACGTGATTGACATTCGTTAATAAGGAAGGGACGATGGTGGGGTGCTGGCGGAAAGATAGCTTGGCCATTAAGATTGCAGACTACTCACACAGAGCGCCCGAGTTGGGATCTCAGCAGGTGGCTCGCAGCTGCCTGACTCCAGCTCCTGAGATTCAACCCCTCTGGCCCTTATGGGAATCTGCCTGTACTTACAGACACTCGTACTCACATGCACACACACACACACCCACACCACATACATAATTAAGGATCAAATAAAAAGAAAAATTTAAAGGTGATTAGAGATGGATTACAGTGAGTTCCTGGAAGGAACAATGCCATTTTTCAAGGTCAGCACTAAAGAAGAGACCCTTCCTTTAGTCTCTGTGGGAATCTGCCACCAGCCTCTGCAGCAACTTCTACAAGGCCATAGGCAGTCCAGGTCCTGTGCTGGGGTGTCTTGGTGCTGGCTTCATGGGTGACAGCCCCCTCTGGATCCTTTTGCCTACAGAACGGCTGCTCTCTCTCTGCATCTGCTCCCAGTACACTTGAGCTACAGCCTGTGTCCTCCCAATTCTGTAGAAGCTCATGTTGATCAACCTGTGGGTCCCAACCCCTTGGGAGGGTCACCTATCAGATATCCTGCATATCAGCTATTTACATTATGATTCATTAGCAAAATTTACAGTTATGAAGTAGCAACAAAAATAGCTTCATGGTTGAGGGCAGGGGGTCCACCACAACATGAGGAGCTGTATTAAAGGGTCACAGCATTAGGAAGGTTGGGAACCACGGCTCTAGAGGCACACTGAGCTTGAGCTGCCCCTGGCGTATGAAGAGGCCCATACTTTCTGGGTATCTCTATTGATGTTGTAATTAAGCGCTAGATCCTGGGTGATCAGTGTCAACATTACAGCAACCTTCACCTGATGCTGTTAACATGCGGATGGTCCATTTCCTCAGTGCAAAACTGTGGGCGTCCCTAAGTCTTCACTCGCTTTACATTTTGCTAGCCGAGTTTCTTCTATGAAGAACTGTCCTGTATCAGGGGCTGGAGAGATGACTCAGCTGTTGAGTACTTGCTGCTCTTGCAGAGGATCTGGGTTTAGTGCCCAGTGCCTACATGGTGGCTCGCAACCATCTGTAACATCAGTTCCGGGAGATCTAATGTCCTTTTCTGACCCCCTCATGCACCAGGCGTTCATGTGCTGTACATATGTGTAGGCAAACCCTTATATACATGTAAATTAAATAAATTTGAAATAAAAAATAGCTTTCCTTTGTCAACTTCATGATAGCCTAAAACACAATCTATTCTGGGAAAACAGAATGATGCTTGTTTGCTCCACTTCCAGAATAGTACCTGATACCTTCACACCTTCTAATAGCAACCAAAATATTAGGTATCCCCCGCCCCCCCGCCACTAAAGGATCATTGTGAACACAGCTGGTTTTTAAAAATATTTATTTATTTTATTTTATTCAGACAGAATTTCATGTAACCCAGACTGGCCTCAAATGCTTTATGTAATCAAGGACAATCCTGAACTTTTGACGTTCCCTCCATCTTCAGAACGCTGGGATTATAGGTGTGTGCCACCACAACCATTTTTATGTGGTACTGCAGATTGGACCCAGGGCCTTGCGCTTGCTAGGCAAGCACTCTACCGACCGACCGAGCCACATATCAACTCCAAACACACCGATTTTGAATATATTGGATGTGCTTTGACCCACAGCAGTCTTTATTCATTGTCTCATGCTGAGCTATCAAGGGTCACTTCCGATTAGTTCCCCAGCCCTTTGGTCATGAGCCCAGCCATCTCGGAGAGGTCCCTTGCTTTCCTGTGCAGTGAGTGATTCCAGGCTAACACTGGATATTTCCTGGCTTGGATCGTTTTCACAAACCCCGTTTCCTTCCTTTTAATGTGAAGTTGTCTCAGAGATCACAGTGTGGCCGTGATTCCGTGGCCATGATTGCTAGTTGGCTATCGTCTCTTGTAGACCTCTCGTGGGTTGAAGTAGGAAATGGGTTTATTTTTAAGAGAATCCTGAGCAATTCACTCACTGGCACTTCCAATTCCAGGAAAGATGAAGTTTTTTACTTTTTTTTTCTTCGTATTCTGTTTCCTGTTAGACTGAAAACCTTGGACTTTTAACGAAATTACTGTTTTCCTTCTACACCATAGTAACTTCTCTTTCCCCTTTCCCAGAAGGATCCTCCTGCCTCTGCCTCCCCAGTGCTGGGATTACAAGCATGTGCCCTCATGTCTGCCAGAAAGTTAGGCTTCTTTTGTTTTTGTTTTTGTTTTTGTTTTTCCTAGTCTTAGCGACTTCCCTTTTTGATTGATTTTGTGTCTCGTTGTATAACACATTAAATAGTTCCAAAGACAAAATTGAAAACGTTGTTACCTTTGACCCTGTTTCCCCCGTCTAGTTCTGTCCTTCCCACTTAAAGAAACATACCACTCTCATGTATCTTCCAGGTACCATTTCTTTTTTATTTAAAAAATTCTTAGCAGGCATGTGCACATGCTCACCGCATATTTGCATATGTACCCACCCTCCACTCAACACAGCTGATGGTCCACACCCTATCCCGCGTGTTCTGTTTCCACTCAGTGTCCTCTGGTAAGCCCACGCCAGTTCCGAGTCCTCCTCCCCTCGGTCACCCGCCCAGCCCTCCATCACACACACCGTAGCGCCTTTGATTTGACACCTGCTGAAGGACACACATAATATTGCAATCATGAACGACCATGTGCCTGTGGCCTCTGGTGGGTTTTCCTCTTCCTGCTGCCTCTACTGCTAGTCACATCTGGACTGGAGGTATTTGGCCAGGAGTTACGGTTTCTAGGGGGTGGCCCCAGGCTGTTGACCGTAGGGAGTAAATCTAGGTGTGTCGCTGTTAGTGTGTGCTCTCTGGGCTGAGTCCTTCTGAGGGCCTGTGAAGATACACCATCTGGGCACTCTGGATTTCCACTTGCAAGCTTGCCACTACAGCCTAGAGAGGAAACACCTTTGAGCTGGGGTGCTCAATAGGGCACTACTAACAGTTGGATATGCAGTGGGATGGGCCACACCTCAGAGTCCCCAGTGCCCCATAGACGACAGGATGCCCAAGGAGGTCAGGGTGGGGCTGGTGTGCACAAGATGTCCCGTGCATGCAGAGGCAGCTTTCCTTCCTTAACCAGTGGTCTCAGTCATCTCCTTCCACCTATTATTTAGGAGGCTAGGGAAGTCTGACAGCTAATTCCCACATCCTCTGAGAGCGTTTTATGAGTGTCCTGTGATTTCAGTTCCAAATCACGTCCTTGGGCTTGGAGCCAGGCTGCCATGCTTCGGGTCACAAGCACAGTGGTCGGGTATACACACCATGCCAGATCATCAAACAGGGCCTATCTCTGCAGACTGGCAGTTCTTGTTTCAAATGGGCCATAGATGTGTGATCTGGACCATCTTGGAGAGATGCTGCTGTGCCAACAGCCTCCAGCTTATGGGGGGGGGGGGTACACATTAGCTTAGCCACAGTCCTTAACCTTACCCTCCCAGGACATCTGAGACAGATTCCCACAGAACCCAGGCAGCACCAGCCTTCCCTCCCTAAGGCTTGCTGTCTTGGACCTCACACCTCATCAAACTTTGTTTTTTTCCACTAATCAAAAAAAAAAAAAAAAAAAATCTCCTACAACCTTCAAATATCTTAGGGAAATGCCCTTCTGTAGAGTGTTCTGACTAGTGTTTGACAGGGACAGGGACAAATAGACAGCTGCTAACTATGCGTGACAGAGGGCTTCTGGGAGGACATGCCACTCATGCGCCCTCTTTCTCCAAGTCCCTAGGATCAGGGACAGATGGAGGTGGGCAAAAGCTCACAGTGACTCTTTTTATCCTAGGGAGTCCAGGGGCACTCTGGGCAACCGTGCCCTTTCACACGACAGTATTTTCTTTCCTGAATCGGGGCAGGACCCTGCTCGGCCTGTGCGGGTGTTTTCCCAAGAAAATGTGTGTGACCGGATCAAGGCCTTGCAGGTAAGGGTTGGCTTGGGCACTGTGGCTTGGGTGTCTGTCCAGGGTTAATTAATCCAGAAGTTCCGAAGAGATTTCAGCTTAGCTGTTTGATACAGTTGAAGGTAGAGTCACAGGGTCTTCACAGTTCTCCTCAGGCAGGCAAGTTAGTCACATGCGGATACCCTGTTGGTGAGTGCCTGATCGATAAGGACATCAGTGAGGGAACTGGGGACAGGCAATTATTCAGGCCGGTGCTCTGCGTCATGCAAGGGTGCTGACGTTATTTCCTGAATGAATGAATCAGAGCAGGGTGTTATTGTTGTTGGGTGTTATTGATGAAAATGCTAAGAATGACTGCCGTTCCTTCAACCTAGTTAAAGATACAATGTAATGTGAAGATGGGGCCGCCGCCTCCAGGAGGCATTCCTACCAAGAGGGCAGAGGAGACTGGTATGAGCTCTGAGGATGACGGACTGCCCCGGAGCCCCCCAGAGATGTCCCTGCTGCATGATGTGGGTCCAAGCCCAACTATAAAGGCAAGTGCAATATGTGCGCCCCCAAACGTTTCCATCCCACCTGCCACTAAGCATTGCTAAAATTCTGGAGGCCCCCCGTGTCTCCCTACAAGATCTCCGTGAATAAGGGAGACTGCGCACTATCATGTCGTGTGGTTGTGTGGTCACTCTGATGCCATCTGCTCTGTGCCTTGTCTTGTCTGAGCAGATGCCCAGATCCAGAATGCCATTGAAAAGGGAACTAGCTACTTCTGCTTCTCCCTGCTGTCACGACATTGGCCAGAGGACAAAGTGAACAACAGTAAACACTTAATAGCATTCAGCTCTAAGTCCCAGTCACAACGGAAGAAACCCTGTTGGTTTGGGCAAGTCACATGGGGCCCTCTGGGAAACAAGGCAACCCATGAAGTTTGACCAGCAGGGCCTGACCGTAGTCACTGGAGAAGTAATCCTAAATACTGCCCTCCCCATCGACTCCATCTCATGAATAAACACCCCGGCACGCTCATGATGCCATTTTGGTTTGTGGTAAGAACATTAGCATCCATATAATGTATTCATATATAAATGATAAAAACAGATGGCCATTTTCTCCATAGTAATAAGCATTCTTGCTGAGGGCAGACAGAATTGAAATGATCCAAATTATGTTGACCTATGAAAAACAAAGAACAGACTTTGTGTTTGAGAGCTGTGCAGCACACCTGCCTTGGGCGTACTTGGATCACATCGCCCCTGGCCTGGCCAGGGCATTGCTTACAATGGAACTATAGAGTTACCACTTCTGGATTGCTTGGAATTGTATTCAGTAACCTCCCAACTTCGGTAACTCTCGGCTTCGGAGATATTCTCTCTCCCCGGCATGCACACTAGCTGTGGTTTGTTTTTTTGTTTTTTTGTTTTTTTGTTTTTTTGTTTTTTTTTTTTTGGTATTTGTGAGCTCCCAGAATATTACTAATGAAAAGTCAAGACTGGGATGTGGCGGATTTTAAGTCAGCTCTAGGGTTGGGAACTCCCATGGAGCTGCCCAGAGAATTACTCCCAGAATTTGGCTTCAGGGTAAGCATATCCCTGCTCACAGTAAGAGCTGGGTCTAGGGGCAGAAGGCTACCCACACCTGCTCTCCAAGTTCAGGAAGGGCTAGATGAAGAGAAGGTTGTCTGTCCTGTCGCCTTACTCTGTGGAGTTAAAACTGCACCTGTTAGCGCCTTAAAACACCCCCAAGTACAATTCTGTTATCCCTTTTCCAGATTAGATATGGTTGTGTGTGCCAGGCTCTGTGGTGAGGAGATTCCTGTTGGGAGCAACCTGCTGCTGACTCTCTTTGACTTCCTGTACCCCTTGAGCCTCTGACTTTCACAGCAGCTGGTTTTGTCTGGATTGGCTGGATCAGGCAGGAGGAGCAGCTTCATTCATTGAAGATGGAACTCAGCTCCAAACCCGATGGCCACTGCAGTGCACAGATTTTAATTAGCCAAATGGGGGTCACTTGTGCTGGGCGAGCACTTACCTAATGTTTTATTCCTCTGGTTATCACTTTATATTTTAAAATGAATTCTGAGGGTTTTACCAGTTATTTGATAGTCTATCTAGTCTACTATCATCATAGGAAACCAAAATTTGGGAATGGTGGCGTGCAGCTTTAATCCCAGCACCCGAGAGACAGATGCAGACAGATCTATGTAAATTCAAGGCCATCCTGGTCTATATATTGAGTTCCAGGACAGCCAGGGCTGCATCGAGAGACCTTATCTCAACAACCAAACAGAAAATATATACGCAACACTAATATTTAGTCCAGTGCTCCAATAGAAAGGTTCAGATTTTTGTTTTGTTTTTTGTTTGTTTATCTGTGTTTGCTTGCTTGTTTAAAGGTGGCAGGGGTCTTCTCAAGTCCAGCACATCCCAGATTCTCTGTGTCTTGCTCCTCATCAGGGCTGCGTGTGCTATAAAGTCCATGCTTTGCCTTGAAACACACTTTTGCATTCCCAAGGGGCTTGCTGTATTGAGTGGGGCAGGGCTTGCTGTATTGAGTGAGGCGGGGCTTGCTGTATTGAGTGGGGCGGGACTTGTTGATTCAGTGGGGTGGGGCTTGCTGTATTCAGTGGGGCGGGGCTTGCTGTATTCAGTGGGCGGGGCTTGTTGATTCAGTGGGCGGGGCTTACTTATTCAGTGGGATGGAACATACTGATTCAGTAGCGCAAGGCACTCTGATGTTTCAATGGGCGGGTGTCTTAGGGTGTTTCTCTTTCTTCCACATGGCTGCCAGAAGCCCTTTCCCCCATGGCAACGCATTTGCTGTTGCTGACTGTCAGTTCCTCCCCGCTGAGGTGTAAACTAGTAACACATCTGTAGCTCACCATATGGTAGCTGGAAGCCAGCTCCTGGGAGGCTCTAGAGACCCTTTAGAATGAACAAAGGAAGCACCAGGAAAAGGGCTGAGCAGGGGCGTCAGCGCTTTCCTGTGAGATCTCACTGCTGGGCCACAGTCCCGACTGGATGAAATCAGCAGGTCCCTCCACCCTTGGAGACACTGGGCTACTCTGTTTTGTTGGTGAAAGCGGCAGTGAAAAGTCTTCCTGTTAAAGAACCCTGTTCACATGGCCTGAGGATTGGCCCCCACCCTTTGAACTCCCAGCCACTTGCTCTAAAGGGGTATTCTAAAACATTCTCTGTCAAGAGCCAATTGGAAATATTCTCTCCCAGGTACAGTCCAAAGACAGCACGGAAGTGCACTCAAGAGGGGTTAGTAGGACAGCAGTCTCCACCCTTTGTCCCTAAATTAATGCTTGGTGTGTTTGTTCCTTGTACTGTGAAGATCTTAGTGTCCTCATCGCGGCCACAGTCTCCTGACCACGCGAGTGATGCCACCGTCTCCTCCCGGACCTTGGATGGCAGCCTGGCACCTGTGGCTGACTTCAGCCACCCTCCAGAAATCTCCTCTTGCCTGGATAACTCTGCAGCTAAACACAAGCTCCTGGTTAAGCCCCGCAACCAGAGATCAAGTAAAATGAGGCGCCTGTCTTCGGTAATTGGCCTTCCTCCTCTGTGTAGGGGTGGGATGGGCAGGCATGACAGCCCCACCCACTGCCTAGCCGCATAGGCATCTGAGCACCTCCGTGGTGGATAAAACCACACTGTAGACGCTAGTCCTGCCCGTCTTTTGCACCTTGAATCGGGCATCTCTCTCTTGTATAAACAGCCTACCCAGACCTTAATACTTGCGTGCATTTGTTCATGCTACAAAGACCAAGAATCCACTGTGTCAAACAGACACTCCATTCCTTCACTCCTCTTATCCCGACAGGGCTTAGATGCCTCCGCTCTGGAGGGCAGGGGGCAGGGCAGGCATGGCGAAGAAGAATCACTTCTCACACTGAAAAGGACTTGTAGAGTAACATCTCCCCTGCCCTTTCCTCAAAACACAGTTGCGGGTGTTGAAGATTTCACGACAAGCTAGGCACATGGACTGGAGACAAGCAGCAGGCCCCACCTGGGTGTCAGGGACTTCCTGAAGAGAGTGACTTTTCTGTTTGGCCTGTGGGAGGGGCTTTGTAAACACAGGCTGACAGGGTTGACTTCTCGGGAATCAGTACCGGAGGCACCTGGATCCATTCACTGTGTCCAATGAGTATATAGAGCCACATGCTCTGGGAACTTGATGAACTCCAGGAACTCCAGACCTGCCTGAACTCATGTAGAATGGCACTAAGTAGCAACCCTTCTTGCTGTCCCCACCCCCACCCCCCAACATTGCTGAAACTCTCTTGAGTTTTGAACTTGCCTTCCTCCTGGAATACCATTTGGTAAAATAACTATAACAAAAATCTGATGTAAGTCAGCCTGGGAAAACAAGGAAACCCAGCTGGTCCTTAATTTAAACTCCTTATTTCTTTCCCCCTGCCCTGCTTGGTAGAGAGCAGGCATGACTCTCTCAAGTTCTCAGAGGTATCTACACTTTCCTACCGGTCCCCACTGCCCCTTCGTTCACTTCAGGAGCTGTGCTAACTAGCAGCGTCTGCCCATCAGTATCCACAGCCACTTTGCTCTGGGTCCTAAAGCTCCTCTTCCCACAGAGGCCTTCCCCCTGCCCCAGATCTGGCTTTTAGGTGCTCTCTTACTCCAGTGATGGAAGGGGCCACATACTGCCCCATGAGCTGCCAATCAGCCAAGGACACTTCTGTAGAGACCTCATGATTCTTTAGGCTCTGCTCGACAGGGAAGCCTACTTTCCCCTCATCTGATCCCCCCATAGCATGTGGGACTGCGTTCTCTATCTCACCTAAGCCCCAACACACTGGCATCCTCAGAGTTCCCACAGCAATCCCTTCTGATCCATGCTGCTCTCCTCGCTGGGGTAATTACAGCTGTGTCACCAGGGCCTGAATTCTCCACTCCATGGCATTAAGGCTCTGAATCTTTTATAAGCTCTAGAGCGAAAGAGGGGGGGGGGCTAGATAGATGGCTCAGTAGTTGTCATGCAAGTGTAAGGACCAGAGTTCGGATCCCCAGAACCCAAGCAACTGTTGTGTGTACATGGCAGTCCCCCTGTAATTCTAGCCCAGAGCAAGCTGGCGTATGAAACTAACCATATCAGTGAGCTCTGGATTTGATTGAGAGACCCTGCCTCAATAAATGAGGTGGAAGATGGATTGAGGATGATTCCAGACATCACGTACATAGGCACCTATATACATATGCATCTATATAACATACCCACATATGTACAAACATACATATACACACACGGACACTCTACACACATACAAATACACACAAAAATGCAAAAAGACAAAAGAAGGAAAAAAATAGTGTTGTTATTAAACGGAGAAAACCCCTCTATTTTGCACAGTGAAACCTTGGCTATCAAGGCTGATATTTATTTCAAAGCTGAAACATGTTTGGCTGGGCCCCTCGGCCCCCACCTCAGGAGAAGTTGGAAGGGATAGCTGCCAGTTATTACCTCAGCGTTTTGTCCTGCCACCCATGCTAAGAGAACCATGCTTTTGGTATAATTCTACTTGTAGTTGGAGCAGAATGCCTGTAAAGGTTTACACCTTACACCACTCGGTCCTCAGGCCCAGCCAGGCAGTGCTGGGGAGAGGGAATGTTGTCAACTCCATTTTAATAGGAGCGCTGAGACTGGATGACTAGTTCTGGTCTGGTGGCTGGAAGAGCTGCCAAATGCATGACCCAGAGCTCAGACAGAGACCGTGCTGCCCGTGGTTTGGAGGGTCCTCTGCCCAGGGACTGCTGCACACTGCACCATGGAACTTGCTTCCTGGCGTGATGACACGGGTATGCCGCTAGCCTCAACTGACTCTTCGTCTTGGTACAGGCTGAGCATTTCTGTTTCCTCAGGATGTTTCCAGAGTACCAAACCACTGTGAAGCCCCAAAGGAGGAAATGCCCAGGAGGTTGCCTAGATGGAGTAGGCACAGTGCACCCTGGCAGTGATGGGGAGACTGAGTTCCTCCCTAATGCAGCTAGCCAGAGGTCCTGGGCTTTGTGGGAGCTGCTTTTCCACCGTTTGGGCTCTACTCAGCATCCAATTCCCTCCTCTGGATGGTACACCCCATGCCAGCCTTCATCCCGCTGTGTCCCCCACTCCCATAGTCACCTCCGTAGCTGCCAGTAGCTCAGCTGGAAGGTGCTCTAGCCAGACTGGATCCCCAGCTGTCTGCTGAATTGGCCTGGGTTCTGTGATGGATGGTTTCCAATCATGACCCATGTCCTACTGAGCCCTCCATATCAATAATTTCCAATAGAAAATGGCAAAAGACCAGTGACATGACCAAGTCAAGAACCTGCAGCTTTTGGCCAGACTTCTTGTGTAGATTTCTTCCTTCAACTTCTTTTGAAATCCAAAAGAAGAGAATTGTGCATTTTGGCAGAAATGAGCTTAGGTATGGTCACAGACATCCCAGACTTCTTGTGATCTTTAGCAAGCAGATGCCAGCTGGAAATGTTAAAAATAGCAGTTGGGGGTGTAGCTTGGGGTTAGAGCACTTGCCTCACTGCACAAGGCCCTGGATTTGATCCCCAGCATCACAGAGATAAAAATACAGTATCAGCAACAAGAACCAACTCTTACGTACCCAAGGTCACATCTCCTACCTTAGAAAACAAGACAGAGCACTGTTTAATGCAACAGCCGGAATGATTCCCAAGGTTTGATGTCCTGAACGTTTTGCAATAATCGACCCTTAACCTTTGAATCATGTTCACATATTGCTTTTGCATGACCTGTGTCTGCCTCGATTTTCATTTTCTTCCTGAGAGGAGGAATTGAGTGTGTGACAGCCAAGAGGAAGCCAGGCCAGCATCTAAATTCCAGAGGCCTTTCCAAAGGAAAAAATGCCACAAGGCTGTGTAGGATTCCAGGTGCGTTAGAGAGCCAGGAAAGGAAGCACCGTCAGCTCAGGCAGGTTATCTGCAGGAAATAAAGACTGAGGGAGTCTGGCTGGTAGAATGTTCTGGAGGTTCAGAGCGGGAGGCAGCGTCTGGCACAGTGGAAGGGTCCCGGCTTGGCATGAATGGAAAACCACAGAACTTACAACTGAAATTTTTGGCTTTTATCCCGTGGTTTACAATTCACTGTGTTTGACATGATACAAATATAACTTTTTAAGAAAACTACCTGTTTTTTTCAATGAGGGCACAACCCTGGAGAGCAATGCTGTGTGACGACTTGGTATCGCAGCCCATGACCAGATAGAGAGAGACTGCCTGTTGACCTGGGATTCCTATTAACAGCTAGTTAGTTCAGTCTTGACCAAAGTTTCCATGCCTTCGGTCTCCAGGCTCTCCAAGTACAAAAAACAATGGCAATCCACTCCTCACTCACATAAGTCTAGAGTGAAACAGAATTAACAAAGAACACAAAGCAGGACAGATCGTCACTCTATCTTGGTCCTCGGCCCTCTGTTCGGCTCTAGGCAGGCAGGCACCCATTTGTTTTGAGCTCCTTTTTTTTTTTTTTTTATTTTTTAGAAAGAATCTCACTGTGTAGATCTAGCTGGTCTAGAACTCAGTATATAGACCAGGCTAGCTGACCTCAAGCTCATAGAGATCTGCCTGTCTCTGCCTCCCGAGTGCTGTGATTAAAGGTGGGTGATAGCATATCTGGATGCATGAGTTGCCTTTACGTTGAGGGCCTGGCTACCATGGATCTGCTGAGTGTATGAACCAAGGTTCCATGTGAACTCATAAGGCAGCTGAAGAGATCTGTGTGTGTGGACATCTCTACTCCAGCATCAGCCTTTGAGAGCTACCGTGTTTCCTAACCCACGTTTAGTCCTAGAGGAAGCAGGGACAGACTCTAACATTTGCTGCAGTGTGGTTGTCTCTCATCTCTGTTTTCTCCTAGAGGGCACAGTCTGAATCCCTGAGTGATCTGTCATGGACCCTGGAGGAGGAAGAATATGAAGGGAAACGATTACTCCGAGTCAATACAGAAGACCATCCCAGTGCTGGGCAGCGGGATTTGATGCTGGGCAGAAGGCCTGAGTTTGGACCCTTGCTGCTCCCTGGAGGGGCCTGTGCCAGACGTGCTCGCCTACAGCACAGCATGGCAGTCAGTGCCAGCATGGAGGAGGGCGGTTCTCCTGGAGATGAACCCTCAAGCCAGCGGGCTACGCCAGAGGTCACCGAGCCCATGGCAGTCTCAGTTCCATGCCCAGGAACCCCATCTCTGCCAGAAGGTTCTCCGTACCATATTCCCCACGGTGAAATCCAGAAGGAACAGCTGTCCTCTGGAGGCCTGAGTCCTCTAGTAGAGAGCGTATCTGAGGAGATTGTTTGTGGTTCTGGAGATGTGGAAACTCCATTATCTGATGTCCCTGAGGGAGGCATGGCACCTTCCAAGGAGGACTCTGCAGCACCTCCTGAGGGAGACGCAGCATTTCCCAAAGGGGACACAGCACTTCCTGAAGGGGAGACTCATCCTTCCAAAGAGGATGTGATACCTCCTGAGGGAGATACAACACTCCCCAAGGGGGTCATGGCACCTCCTGAGAGAGACATGTCACCTCCAGAGGGAGACATGTTGCCTTCCAAGGGGGATATGACACCTCCCAAGAGGATCATGGCACCTCCAGAGACAGACATGTCACCTTCCAAGGGGGATGTGACACCTCCCAAGAGGATCATGGCACCTCCAGAGACAGACATGTTACCTTCCAAGGGAGATGTGGCACCTCCCAGGAGGATCATGGCACCTCCAGAGATAGACATGTCACCTTCCAAGGGAGACATCGCACCTCCAGAGAGAGACATGTCACCTTCCAAGGGAGATGTGGCACCTCCCAAGAGGATCATGGTACCTCCAGAGAGAGACATGTCACCTTCCAAGGGAGATGTGGCACCTCCCAAGAGGATCATGGTACCTCCAGAGAGAGACATGTCACCTTCCAAGGGAGATGTGGCACCTCCCAAGAGGATCATGGCACCTCCAGACACAGACATGTCACCTTCCAAGGGAGACATCGCATCTCCAGAGAGAGACATGTCACCTTCCAAGGGAGATGTGGCACCTCCCAAGAGGATCATGGCACCTCCAGACACAGACATGTCACCTTCCAAGGGAGACATCGCACCTCCAGAGACAGACATGTCACCTTCCATGGAAGATGTGGCACCTCCCAAGAGGATCATGGCACCTCCAGACACAGACATGTCACCTTCCAAGGGAGACATGGCACCCCCCAAAGAGATCATGGAACCTACCAATAGGGACAGGGACACAATACTTCCAAAGGGAGAGGCACCAACTCTTGAGACTGTCACTGACACCATCTTGGAGACACCCTCAGATACAGAGGGACAGGACCAAAGTGTCCAGAAGGAGGAGGAGCTGACCCTGGTGGTACCCAGGCCTGAGGGAGCAGGGACAGAGTCCTCCACAGCCCCTTCCCCGAGCCCACCAGTACCCAAGAGCTGCCTGAAGCACAAGGCGTTGGCCTCCGGTGGGTCCCCCGGAGAGTCTCCTCTGAAAGACCCCAGCCCTGGAGTCCAGGACAGAGCAGTTGTGCCCCCGGCCCGGTCCAGGCCTGCGCAGGCTGCGACATCAGGGGGTCCAGAGAAGGCAGCCCTGGGGAAGAAGAGCGAGCGGAGTACTGAGCCACCGCGCAGCGTTAAGAGGTTCTCCGTGACCTCAAGCAGAGCGCGTGCCCGGGCCAGCAGCTCTCGCCTTCCGGAACATTCCGGCCATGCGCCTGCAGGGGGCCGTGCACCTTTACTACGGAGTGGCCTTGCCTGGAGGAGTGAGGCAGCTCTTGATGACCTGCAGGTGCTGCCAGAGCCCCAGGACAGGAAGACTATGGGTGGTGACCCTCAAGTCTCAGGGGACATGGGGGCCGGCCAGGCAGGACCAAGCAGGAGCCTCCAGGACAGGAAGACTATGGGTGGTGACCCTCAAGTCTCAGGGGACACGGGGGCCGGCCAGGCAGGACCAGGCAGGAGCCTCCAGGATGCTGATCCTTGTGTAAAGGAGCCAGCCCCTGGAGAGGACCAGAGCCCCTTCCCAGTCAAGCTACGGTCCACCTCGCTCTCGCTCAAGTACAGAGACGGCTCTGCCCAGGAGGCGAAAGCCATCAAGAGGTACAGCGCGGAAGTCAGGTTGGAGAGAGGAGGTCTGACTCCGCTCCCCAAGGATGAACAGAGCCATGCCGGGGCTGCCCCTGCACTGCGAAGTTCCAGGTCCCCCAATGGGCAAGGGAAAGGGAAGTCCAGGTCTCCTGAGCAGCCCAGTACCAAGCCACCCCTGCCCAGGAAGCCTCTCCTGCCGAGCCTCACCCTGCCCTACCCACCTGCAGGCCTGGATGCCAGCCCCGGGGAATCTGAGAGACTCATACCGGTCATCCTGCCTCCCGAGCCCAGGAAGGAGAAGTCGCCCCGCCAGGGAGCTGGTAAGAGCCTTCCAAGGTCGTTGTTGGGAATAGATGGGTCCCAGGGAAAACAGTGTTTGCGGGAATGTGTACCTGGGATGCTTACGAAACCGGTACAAACAGGCGCGGACCTTAGTACAAAGAGAAATTGGAAGAAAAATCAAATTTTCTTAGAACCGCTGACGTGTTTGAGAGTTAGGAAGCCGAGGCTGTCACTCATGCCTACACAGACCTGGGGTTCAATCACCAGCACCAGAGCAGCGGGGCTAGTGTGATGGCTCAGTGATTAAGAGCTTGCCTCTGTAGCTAGAGTTTTCCTGCCTGACCCACAGTCAGGACAAATCTCTCTCACCCGCCAGTCCCACAGCCGCTCAAACCCGACCAAGTAAACACAGAGACTTATATTGGTTACAAACTGTATGTCCGTGGCAGGCTTCTTGCTAACTGTTCTTATAGCTTAAATTAATCCATTTCCATTAATCTATACCTTGCCACATGGCTTGTGGCTTACCGGCATCTTCACATGCTGTTTGTCATCGTGGCGGCTGGCAGTGTCTCTCTGACTCAGCCTTCCACTTCCCCGTTTTTTCTCCTCCTTGTCCCGCCTATACTTCCTGCCTGGCCACTGACCAATCAGTGATTTATTTATTGACCAATCAGCAACACATTTGACATACAGACCATCCCACAGCATGCCTCTCTGGAAGAGAACTGGGGTTTGGTTCCCAGAACCCATGCCTGGTGGCTCACAGCTGACTGCCTGTAACTTCAGCTTCATGGGTTCTGACACCCTCTTCTGACTTCTGCAGGCACCTGGACTCACACATGCACATGCTGTAAACACCATACACATAAATAAAAATAAACATTTTAAAGGGATCGGGACTATAATGAAGATAGGCAGTCCAATACCAGAATGTTGTGTGATGCAGAAAAATCATATATATAGACATAGTAAGGAAATCTAAAAACTGATTTTGCAGAATATCCCCAGGCTCTAAATGGGTGATGCAAATGCTCCTCCTACGTTGGGTCTCAGCAAGCCGACAACGTGGGTGCTAATTTTGATGCAGGTTTTCCCTGGTCCTAATCTCCTTCTGGCTTGTGAGAGTTCTTCTGACCTTATCCCCTAACGAAAAACTTCTTCCCCTACCCTAATCAGGCCTCTGCAGCACGCCTCACGTGGAAATCATGCTGTGCATGATTGGAGTCATAAGAGCGTCAGCTGTTGCTTCCTGTCCCCTAAGGGAGATGATGTTAGGTTTGGGACACTATTTAATAACCTTTAAAGGAAATTGTCTTTAAGATGAACAGAGACAAAATAGATGATTTGTATCCCTCTTTGATTTATTTATGATGTTCCAGATCAAAAGAAATCTGTTGGAAGTATCTGCAACCCAATTATAGAAGCCACCCATTGCAGACTTACGATATAATGGAAAATAAAACTATACAACTAGTGGGTCCTCTGTGTGTGTGTGTGTGTGTGTGTGTGTGTATACATACTTATGCATTTCACAGAGAGACTGGGGACCTTAGCAACAGTTTTTCCATGGCAAATTTTATTTTAAAATGTTCCCTCTATTTTTAAGAAGCTCCTATAAGTCTGGGAGTCCATTTAAGTACCGTTCTGTGGGACAGAGAGGAAGCCAAGCTTGGTGTCTCTCTTGAGAAATCCAGAACCCTGAAAAAGCAGATGCAGACACAGGAAAAAATGCTCTCAAGGAAACATCATCAACACAGGCTCAAAGATAAACTGATGTTTCCTGTGTCCACGTAAGAAGTTAGTAAAGCATTAGGTATGTAAGTCACTTTGAGTTCCTAAGGGATGCTGGAAGATCCCAGAACCTTGGGGGGGAGGGTAGCTTTCTTGGTCCCTGAGCCTATTGGCTCAGTCATGAATTTGTGATGATTTCCTTGCCACTGTATCAATGGAGAGTTTGAGGGGAGGGTCAAGTCCTAGGTGATGATCTGCTCTGCACATTTTCAGTGTGTTATTGAGGCAGCTGTAGAGCGATTCAGAAAGCTGTTTTAATAGCAAGGAGAATTGCTTCGTAGGTGAAAGTTTGATATCATCACCATCTGCTTCCATGGTCTGGGACTGGAAATGTCTCTCAAGGGCCTAGTGAATGAGTAGAACTCAGGGTCACAGCTAGAGCTGAAAGGGGAGAAGCTGGGGGGCAATGTTTGGCCCCTTAATTACGTTTGACCTCTCTGACACTATAAAATGTCCAGGATAGGCAGAGGCAGGAGGATTATGAGTCGGAAACCAGGTTGACCTAAATAATGAGATCCAGTCTCCTAAATAAATAAAGAAATGTGCCTGGGATGGTGTGCAGTGAACCTTGTATTTTGTGCATTGCTCTGACTTACAGGAAAGGTGAAACTGTCTTCATTTCATGAGGACCTTCTTCAATAGCTTGCTCATCTGTGTACATTGACATTTTCTAGTCTATAGAAATAGCCACTGGTTCCCAAAGTGAATGCATTTGGGTTCTTTTACTCGGCACAGGGAATGGTTTGTGTTTTCCTGAGAATAGAAAAGAATAGGAACTAGCCACAGTCTGTTAGGAACCCATCGTCCCAGAGGGTGTGATGTGAGAGACAAGGGTCAGGACTAGCATGCTGCTTGGTCCTGTTCTCCTCAACCCCACCTGGGGGTCTGTAGGCTGCCTCAGACAGACCAGAGCAGAATCTCAGGTCTGTGTGGTTGAGGCTCACCTGTGAAACAGTCCCCACACTGTCCCCAGACTGAGCTCTGTCTGTGGCTTCGTTCATTAGTATGACTTCTACACTCATCCTCACTGTTCCAAAACTATAGCAGCTGGAGGCAATTTTCACCCATATAAAACCTATAGATAATGAAAGATTTAATGGCCATGTTCATCTGTTTCCTACAGATAATTAAGTCTTGCTATCGACTCCCTTGTGCTGGCAGGGACTTTGCCCAGAGTTCACAGATAGGCTGCCACTCCTCCACCCCCGTCCCAGGTGTGTGCCATAAAGTGAGTGTTGAGTGTTCCGGGTGGGTGCACAGTTCTAAACTGCTCCCTTGTCTCCAGCTGCTCTGTCCCCAGCAGGGATGTTTGCCCTGCCCGTCCACACCCTGTGTTCTCTTTGAAGGGAGGAGTAAACTTTTCAGCCGTGGGATGAGGGCAGGAGGCACAGGAATTACTGTAATGAGTACAGGAGCTCGGTTTGCCAAAGGGCTAGATATCAGGAGGCTACCATGAAGTAGTGAGAAGTAGTTACACAAGCGCAGTTTTGTGTGTGTGTGTGTGTGTGTGTGTGTGTGTGTGTGTGTGTGTGTGCGCGCGCGTGCTCCTCAACACAGAGCAGGCCTCTTTATAGACCTGAGCCACAATTTGCTGATCTGCTATGAGGGGGAAATGGCCTAGGGTTAGCCAGCTTGTTCATTTTCCAAGACACCATCCTTTGTCCTGTTAGACCAATCCATCTTGGAGTCTAAATTACAGGTCAGGAACACAGCTTTCCACACATATGGTAGGAATTGTTTGTAAAAGGTGGTAGTGTCTTGTTTCAAAAAATTCTAAAACACAGAAAAAGCTTGCTGTGAGCCTGATATATTGGTACATACTTGTAATTCTAGCTACTGAGAGGTAGAGGCAAGCCAGTGGCAAGATGGAGGCCAGCCACTACAGTCTAGCAATACCTTGTCTCAAAGGAATGTTTTTAAGGGGGTAGAGAGATTTATATCTCGTGCTTTAATTTGCTTTTTATTGTTCTGATAAAACACCATGACCAAAAGCAACTTGTAGAGGAAAGGATTTATTGAGCTTACACATCCTGGTCACAGTTCATCACTAAAGGAAGTCAAGGTAGGAACTCAGGAAGGGCAGGAACTGGGAGGTAGGAACAGAAGCAGAGGCTGTGGTGCCCGGATCACAAGACCCCCAAGCAAGACCACCACAGAGCCGATATCCGATGCAAGTACACAGAGCTTTTTTAGTAACAAAACAAGTCCGGGGCTTGGTCCGTGCATCCAACATCCGACACAGCAGGTGGAGGAGGACGGCCCCGAGCACTCACTTTAAGGGGTTTATATAGGAAAGGTTTACATGCAGCTTGGGATTGGACCAGGGAGCTAGGGGTGAGGTAGTTCGTTGAAGTTACTGGCTGAACTATAAGCATGAGGTTACTGATGGCTAACAGGATGCAGGGTATCTACAGAGACATAAATGTTTTACTCCCTATGTCCTGCTTTTCTGAACCCAGGATATACACATTCAAATTTATTATTCCAGTCCTATTTTCCCATAAGTTCAATTTCTGGTCAGTTGAGTCCATTACTCCCCATATCCTGTTTTTACCAAGTCCAGGATATATAGATTTATTGTTTCAGCCTTATCTTCCTATGAGTTAGACTTCTGGTCAGTTCTAAAACTGCTGGTCAGCAAATACCTTTAGAGGAGGCGGGGGAGGGGACAGGGGGTGGGCATCTCTCAAGATGGCTACTGATTTTTCCCTTTCAAGGCCATGGAGAAAAGCTGCTTACTGGCCTGCTTCCAGACTTGTGTTCAGCTACCTTTCTTATACCTCCTAGGACCACCTGCCCAGGGGTGGCACTGCCCACAGTGAGCTGGATTCTCCTGTATCAATCAAGGACATGCCCCCACAGACATGCCTCCAGGCCAATCTGATGGAGGCTTTTTTCCCAATTGAGGTTCCCCCTTCCCAGATGACCCTAGTGTCTGCCAAGCTGACAGAAAACAAACAAACAAACAAACCAGGATCACCTCACATGCCCAAAGCCCTGGAGTCAATCTCCTGGGCCTAGTTTGATTCTTTTGGAAGAATGCCCACACGTATCTTGAATTTTTTTTTTTTTTTTAGGAAAGCCATCGCTGCTCACACTTAGGTTCCTTTTTAGCCTTCTCTTTCCCTCCTCGGCCCTTTCCTGAGAGTGTTATTAGCCCTCTGGCCTGTTACCTGGCCCTTCCTGTGTTCCTCCGTGTCTGTGACTCTCAGAAATGGGGGCGTTTCACTATGGAGAAAAAGTT